CCAGGCCTGGGGTCCAGACAAGTTTTCCTATCAATTCTTCATTCTTCACCCAATAAACACGAACATCAAAACACCTGCCCAAAACACTTTAGGTTTTTAGCACGCAACCAAGGATGATCTTTTTCTTTGAACTTTTCCCTACCCCCTGACGGAGTTTATATTTGTTTCAGGGAGAAAGAAGACTTCTTCACCCTTTTGGTTATCTCATACAATATACATTAACTGGCTATATTAATTGGATGTTCTTGATTGTATTTGAAACTTTTTTTAAAATACACATCCTTTAAAAATATTTGTTTGGTTCCTATTTCACTGGGAATCAATATAAAAGGATATGTTTATTTGTTTTTCTGAAACATACTGTTAAAATTTTTTATTTCATAAGCTTAATCAACTCCTTTGAAGTATTTGTGTAGTTGAAAGAAAGGCATGGGGCCCACATTTCTGGCTCTGAGCCGGGTGTTGTGTGAGTTCAAAGAGGCTGTGAACCACATCAAAACTCTATGAGTAGAACACCTGGATGGGGCAGACCTTGACGAATGAGATTTAGGGAACAGCAGCCAGACCGAGAGAAGAAAAGGAAGCTAGTTTGGTAATCCCCAAACTAGGGATCGCCCAGCCCACATCCGGCAGAAGCCCCCCTCCAACCCCACCGTGCACCTGTGTCTGCTCGAGGATTAGTAAAACTCAACGAAACCCCTTTACCTCCGATGTGGTTGATCTATAACCCCAACCATCTGGAATATCATTCAGCACTCTGCTTTGGGGGAAAAATGCAAGTGACACACAATGAGAAGTTAACTCTCCAAAAAAAACTTTTAGTATGTCTGGAGTCAGTATCTAAAATTAACAGCATGCTAAATGTACCCGTGGCCTAATCTTACTCCAGATAGATCTGGTACCCAGAGCAGAGACAGATGTGGCCCACGGGCTGAGCCGAGAACGGGAGGCAGCCCAGCCATGGATTCAGCCGTGCACTGCGTCACCAGCACTGCCTGGACCAGCGTGCCGGGGGGGCCATCAGTCAGCACACTGGAGCTAGGAGGGGTTCTCAGATGTCCTGGTGCCACACTTTTCTCTTTGGAGGTAAGAAAAGTGAAGTTCTGAGAGTTCTGGTGGCAGTCCTCAGCCTCACAGCTTTTACGTCCTAGCCTGGAAGCTATTCTCTTGACCCTGGCTCTAGACCACACCACTTCTTGGCGCTGGGTTTGGCTCATTTGTGTGTTGTCTCACACACAGCCTGGTTTAATTCAATCCATGAGCCCAGGTTAACGTGCATAAAAATTGCATTTCTGCCTCAAAGACCACTCTAACACTGAAGAGTCAATGGCGTGTGTTCAAGAATGGGTTTGTTCATGGAGCACAGGTAAAGCTATGAGATCAAAGTACTGAATCATGCAAAGTTTACATATTCGTTCAAATTATCATGCAAAAAATAAAGTTATCTAGCATGTCACACCATTTTGATTTGACCTAGCACTTTGGATAACACACAAAAGGTATCTATCTATTAATATGGACCCTGACTTCGTTCATTTCCTCATTCAAACTTCGCTGGTTCTTAATGGATGCAACACAGCCTCAGGTGTTTCCGGGGAATAATAACCACAATTTACTGAGTGCCAGCCATGCGCCTGTACTCTGTATGTATCATCTGTCACCCTCCAAACAGCCGTGTGAAGTAGAGGTCATCACTCCCATTCTAGAGAAGAGAACACTGAGTCATGAATTTTGAATAACTGAGCCAAGGTCACTCCAGAACCGGGATTTGAATTCATACCTGAACCCAAAGTCCAAGCTCCCAGAGAGACACCTTCCACCCTGAAAGCACTAACGACCTGGTAGGGGAGATAAACAAGTCAACTAGAATCAAAATAGAGTCCGATAAGGGCTCTAGGACAGGCACGGGTAACCTTCTACGAGCTAAAAGGAAGAGAGGTTTTTCTCAGGTACAAGGGTCAGGAAGGCTTTGTAGAGACTGAGACATTTGAAGTGGGCTCTGAGGTATGGGTAGGAGTCCCTAAAATGGAGATAAAGGGGAAGGAGATTCAGAGCAGGTGGCTGAGCAGGCTCCACATCCAAGGATCTGGAAAGCACGAGGGTGCCTTCACAGAGTATGGAGCCACTGGTTTACTATGAGATAGCACACCAAAAGAAGGATTAGAGATGACCTTGGAACACACAGTTTTTTTCTAGTGATAATCACATATTAAGAAGGTCTGTCTTTATCCTCATGGATACATTTGTTCCTGTTTTGACAGCAGAACCTCTGTAAGTGTAACTCAAACATTGCAAATGAAAAAGACACACCAAGTAAACGAAGGGAGGGTAGCTTCCATGGTGTTGCCTCCCTGGGGGTCATCTGGGGTCTCTCTGTTCAGAATGTCATTTTGGCAAATATGTTCAGCACTTCCAGAAGAACTGGCAATGTAATCCCTAGATGGACCTCTCTCATCTCTCCCTGATCCAGTTCAATCTACATCAACAAAAATGTGTGGTTGCCTACCAACCACAACTAACATCCAGCAAGAACACACAAACTCATCTACTCCAGCAGAGGCGCTGCTAAAATGTTTCACTTCGTCACTTGTTCATCCATCCAAAGATAGTCATCAAGAGCCTACTGTCAGGTACTTGGCTGGGTGCTAAGGATACAATAACGACCTCAGGGAAACTGCAGTTCAGTATATCTTTCCACAGCAGGGTGGAGGCTGGCGTGATTTGCTGGACAAAGAAAACACTGGGAAAGTGCTGGGCTGGGTGGGGAGGATCACAAGTTTCATTTGGGGCATGTTGAGTTGGGGGACATCCCAGAGAAATGTCAAGTGGGCAATTGAGCCTGAGAATTGCAGAGGAGTGGTCTGGGCTAGGAATGTGCCTCTGATCTGGAGGGAGGGGATTTTGACAAAAGGGTGTAACTTGGATTGGGATGATGGCGATGGAGATAGAGCCAAGTGGACCAATGGAGGCATAGTTTGGAGGAGAGGTATATTTTGACCAATTGAAATTCCTATTTCAGCTTCATTATTAACCAACTGTCAACGGCTGTGGATTCCCCACGCATCCACCTTCAATATGCCCTCTGATGCATCCCCCACCCTCACCCCCACGGCCGCTGCAGCCCCTCTCGGGGGTTGATGATTTGTATACACATATCCCTGGAGGGAAGAGGGTCACTCATTACAACACGGAGCTCTGGGACCTCCCGCAGGCTTTGGTGGAGGAACTGACCTGGCGAGCACATCTCCCTCGGCCAGGCGTCCCTCCACAGAAGGGAGAGGTGGTCTCTGTGCACCTGACCTGACCGCACTGCTTCACACTCACTCTATGCCTCCACCAGGTCCCAGGAAGCATCACAGCCACAGTAATTCCCTCATCCTTCCCACAACTGATTTGGCTGGGGGGACGAGGGGGTTTGTTTTTAAATCTAAAACTATTCGAATGCACCCAACAACCTCGCCTTCTCAGACATAAATCTAGCTCCCAGCTCATGTCGACACACGGAAAGTCTGGGTTTTTTTGGGGGGTGTGGGGGGTTGCTGATTCACAGGCATCGCTAACACTAATGAAGAAAAACTTCTGCCCGAAGTCACTGTCAGAGGCAGCACCACTTCTGGGAAGGGCTGGTGCTGCTCCAGGTACAGGCCCCTCTGACTGAGAGCACAGCCCCCACCTCCCGGGCCTGTTCCATGTCACCACCTGGCCTTTTGCTCCCAGAAGGCCTAGAGCTTGTGCGCAGGAGCCCAGACCCCAACCCTATTCACACACAGAGCTCTGCCCCATCCCAGGAAGCAAGTGAGCGTGGTGGTCAGGAGCCAGCCTTGGCCATCCACACCCCACCATTTCATGTCCTCCTTTGGCTTAGACCACTGGTTTTGGAAAGACACCCCCAAGCCCCCCGCCCAGACACAGCTGAAATAGGCATGGGTCTTTACTTTGCAGAAGCAGAAGTTCACCGACCTTTGGGACACAAAGACCTCCAGGCACCCTGGGTCAAGGGATACCTGGGGTCAAGAGCTGACTGGACGTGCACACAGCGACTTCTAAAACACGTGACCATCCTTTACGGTTTTCATTTGACTCAACCAGCTTCTGCTCTAAACTACAAGCACAGAGCCACATTCCTCTGGCCTTGAGTTTCCTGGACTGAAACTCTGATCCAGTGGTCCTAATCCAAGACCAATCCGTATCAGAATTCTGCAAGTCTAATTGTTTAACCTTTCTAGAAAGGCTTGCCATGCCAGGAAGGAATTTAGGTCAAGTCCAGCAAGGCACTCAGGGCTTGGGTCGGCCTCTCTATCTTACGGGCTGTGGGGCCTTCCCTAGACGGTCCAGGGAGCCGCAGGCTTGGCACTGCGCTGACCTCTGGCCCAGGAGCTCTGACAGGCCACCCCACACCGACACTGCAGTCCGGCGTCGGTCAGCAAGGGCCTGCCCACTTTCCCGGGTCTCCGCCGCCGCATCTCTGAGCCCCCTAGCTGCAGCATTCTCGGCTCCCCTCCCTGGGAAGGCAAGGGCGTCGGGCCCGCGGGGCAGCATCGGAGCGGCGGCCCCACTCCTCCCGGAGTTGGAGCAACTCGGAGTCACTTTCTCAAAAGGATGCTGCTTCAACCCCTGCGTGCGCGTAGCCCCCAACACACCCATTGGCACCTCCTCTCGGTCTCGCCCGCTTTCACACACCTCATCCCTGTCGCCACCAGCAGACACACACGCTCTGCTGGTCCGTTTACCGAGAGGGAGCGCGAGAGCTGCCGATGTGGTCGCCAAGTTGGGCTGGGGCTCCGGGGGGCTGATGCCTGGGGTCGCACGGTCCCCAGTCGCTGGCACGGGGCGCGCCGCGGACCGGCAGAGACCCAGCTCGCTGACCCGGCACCCTGGCGCGGCCCCTCCCTCCCGCGGCGGCGGCCGAGGCGGCGTCCCCGGCCTGTTCCTGCCGCCCGCAGCGCACGGCCACCTGAGGGGCGCACGGCAGCCGCCCGCACCCCGCGCGAGCCGCTCACCTCGGGGGGGCCGGTCCGGTGGCGCCGATCCCGCCTCCGCAGCGGCTCCGCATCTCCCGGACGCCCGCCTGCCGCCCTCCGGGGCGCCTCGCTGTCCCTGCCGGGCGGGAAGGAGGGTCGTGGGGACGCGCGGAGGCCGCGGGGTCCAGGCGCCGCTTGCGCCACCTCCTGCCTCCCCCACCGGCGCCGCCAGCTGCCCGCAGCCGAGCAGGAAATTTGTCGGGCCGGGTCCCGCCGCCTCCTCCGCTCGCGCTCAGGCTCCGGCTCCGCGGCGGGGGCGGGGGCCCGGCGCTGCGAGGAGCGGGGGCGACGCCTGGTGTCCGACTCGGGGAGCGCACCCCGGGCACCCGCCCCACTTGGGGCTGCGGCCCCGCCCAGCAGGGGTGGCCTGAAGCCCTGGGAGCACCCAGCCACCCTGGACGTCCGATTACCCAGGCAGGTGCCCCTTCCGGGGAAACCCTGGCCGGGCACCCACTGCGCAGACCCAGGCGCGCATGGAGGGTGTCAAGGTGTGACAGGCACCCTTACAAGCAGGAAAGGCCGTTCCTACCCCGCCTTGGCCCTGGGCACCAGGCACTGGCCTGGCTGGGGACGAGCTTTGCGTCATGCAGTTGGTACTGGGGCGCGCAGGACCCCCCGTACCACTTCTGGTTCAGAGGAGGGAGAGGCGTGGAATCTCCTGAGCCTGTGTCCTACTCTGTAAAGGGAATAAGGGTGCCACTTGGTGGAGGTGGAAAAGGGCTTAATTTGTCGTTAAGGCAACATCCGAAAAGTTAAACACACTGCACACAGGAGGAAGAGCCCCCGCTAAGAAGGGTCTGGACCTGCTGTTCTCGGGGCCTGCCTTCCAGGTGATCTCCTGTGAGCTATTCAGGGAGGTTTCAGAATGAAGGAAATTCCATCAGAGGAGCAGAAAGGATACATGTTGCATCATCTTGGTTCTGAACCATTTTGCTGTGCTTTCTGGGTTGGTCCAAGGCCTGGCCCGCCTGAGGGATATTGCATCCCTGCTGTGGGACCTGACTCATACGGGGTGTGAGTGAATGGACAATGGTGAGATGGCAGCAGGTAGGGTATGTTACACCTCCTTGCTTCCACAACCAGCAGACAACTCTTAGGGCACTCAGGACCTGTTCCAGACAGAGCTGTAGACCCCAAAGACAGAAGAGCGATGGACACCTACTGGCTGAGACCAACCAATGGGCACCTACTGGCTGAGACCAATAGGTTGACAGAACTATCCAGAGTGCAACTTCCCATCTACAGGGTGTAAAGAGCAGTGAAACCAGTGCAGAACTGAGCTCAACTTTCCCTCCCTGCCCTGCCCACGCTGTCCCTAGGGGATCCTGTCCAGCCCTAGGGCTTTAAACACGATCCATATGCAGGAAACAAAAAAACCACAGCTCCTCCACACCTCTCCTCCAAGCTCTGCTCCTTCTGGATGTCTCCATCATCTTAGATCAAACTCTTGTCTTTAGACAGTTTCTCATGAGGCATCCCTATCTCTACCTCTACTCCCGCCTCTAATCCATCTCCTTGTCCACTTCCTGTCTAGCTCCAAAAATGCCTCCCGAATGTATCCCCTTCTCTCCTCTCCACTGACTTCATCTCTCCGGTGACTGCAATGGTGCCCCAACTTCAGACTCACTCTTTCCCAGACAACCCATACTTCACACACCATCCAGGGGGACCCTTGCAAATGAAACCAGGTCACGCCAGTCCCCTGCTTAAGAGACTCAATTCAGCATAAAACCCAAACTCTTGGGAGGTTCTGCCTGCTGTCTCAGCTGCCCCTGAGTCCCTTGCCCCGTTCGCTGTGCTCCAGCCCTCAGCTCCTTCTCTCAGTGTCAGAACCCAGCTCTTCCCCACCGGGGGTCCTCCCCCTTCGCATCAGGCCTGCACCTTCTTACTGCCTTTGGAAAATCGCCTCATACCACCCCTCTCTGCTACTCTCTCACAAGGTGTATTCGCTTGTTTGCTGTCAGCCATTCTGCCCTCCCCTGCCCCCGCCCTCAGGGTTGCGGGCTCCAAGACAGTCCATGCTGCGCTTGTCTCCATCACCTCCCCACCACGAGCTCTTAACACAACCCCGAGAGCCAGGAGGCGTTCAGGAAAAGCAGGTGGGCTGGCAGATCAGAGGAGGAGGGGCCCAGCAGCAGTGCTGGGCAGCCTTGTTGCCCTGGAGCCCAGCAGGAATGGTGGCCCCCTGCTGAGCATGCTCTCAAGGAACAGCCCAGGTTGGCTGGGGACAGGCAGCCCAGTGACATCACCCAGCTGTCAGTTGTCCTGCTGTGATGGCCTACAGAGCCAGGCTTGTGTACACGTAGGCGACCATTTCAAAGCTCTGATGAGCACAGTTTTGCTTGTTAACACTGCAGAGCTCTGGAGGCAGAGACTGTGATGTAAGAAGAGAGAAACAAGTTGCCTTTGTCAGACATCTGCTGTTGGAAAGTCAACAGCCCTGGTAACATGATGAGGGGCAGATGGCTCTTCTCTCTCCATAATATCCTCTCTGTTGGACCCCAACGATTCTTCCAGGAGCTAAGTAATATCCCTCAACTTCTTCTAAAACCTAAAGACATTCATCATTGTCACACAAAAGCATGTTGTCAGAGGCATTGATGCCAGGGTTGTGTTGATTCCCATACAGAAGTCTTTGGATCCTTCTTATCCATCTTCGTTCTGCGTCTCTTAGGCTCAAGGCCCCTACCGAAGTCAGAGTCAGTTCCCCTATTCTCATCCTAGGCTTCAAGGACAACCTCCCCCCCACCCCACCCCAGCCTCTAGCTGTCCTGAACGTCTACCCACCCTCATCTTTTAGGACCCCAGGACACAGCCCTTGTTAAGTCCACGCTTCCTCTTATACAGTTTCTATTTCACCCTACCTTAGGTCTGGCCATCCTCCTGCTTGTCTCCCACTTCCTCCTCTTCATCAGGCCATGCAGCTCCTTTCCTTTAAAGCAGAGCTGGAAGCATGTTTCCTGGGACTGTTAATATTAACTGTAGTTATGTGTCTTGTCTTCCGTTTTACTCAAGGACAGGCCTTTGGATTTCTCCAAGGAAACCCAGATAACACTCATCATGCTTTAAGGGCTCAATAGATGTCAATTGAAATTAAAACACTCAGGCCACAAATGCTGCCTAGGAGGATAAGCAAAAAAAAAATAGATGAAAAACATCGTTCAAACATTGAATGAATTCAAACATTGTACAGAAACATTAACATAAAATTACTCAACTTTAGGAAATAAAATCAGAAGGGCTTGGTGATAGGTTGACTGCAGGGCTGGGCAAGCAAGTGAAGACTGTCTTTAGAACCTGTCCCCACAAAGAGGAAACTCAGGATGGCTATTCTGACTTCTAGAATGTGCCAGAATGAATAACTCTAATGGGTCCAGAACTTTCTATTTTTACATTACCTAACTATTCTTCTCCTTCCTCTTTTCCCAGCTTATGCCCAAGTATTAAATTAGTAGCCGGTGAAATTGAGAGGACAGACCCTTTGCCGGAAGATTCCTCTCCTATCCCAGAACAGACAGTTGTGCCCTCCTCCAGGTCCTTGAAGCGTTTTGACTTTTTTTTTTCTCTCTGATTACTTTTCGTTGATGAATAATACACATGTATTATACTAAGTGTACAGTTTAATGAATAAATACAAAGACATAACCTAGGGAAATACATATATCCCTATCAAGATATTATTGAACATTTCTATCACCCCAGAAAGCTCCCTCATGCCCCTTCCCATAAAATCCCCCAGTCCCACCAAAGGCAGCCACTGCTCTGATGTCTATTACATAGACAGGTTCACCTGATCTAGATCTTCATATAGATGGAATCATACTATGTACTCTTTTATTTCTAGTTTCTTCCACACAGCAAAATCTTTTTGAGGTTCATGCTTTGTTACTTATATCAGTAGTTTAGATAATGTATCTTCTTCTCTAGTTGCTCTAAAGATTTTCTCCTTATCATTGTTTTTTCAGAAATTGACATAATAGCCAATAACTTGAATCTACCCAAATGTCCGTCAATTGCTGAATGGATAAACAAATTTTGATGTATCCAGATGAATCTCAAAACAAGCCAGATACAGAAGACTACATATTGTAATACACCATTTCTATGAAATTCTAGAAAAGGCAAAACTATAATGACATTAAAGCAGATCATAGAATTGTAATATAATGCAATGTTCTCTCTAAAAATGGTCACAATTTAAAAACTTAATGGCCAGCATTTTCCACCACTTCAGAAGAGAGAGCTTTCTCACACATTGCTGGTGGGATTATGAATTAGAGGCCAATTTGAAGGCCAATTTGCATTTGGTATCAAAAATCTAAAAATGTCTGCCTGAACCAGCAGTTCTTCTGTAGGAATTTATCCTAAGGCTATAATTAACAATCTGTATTCAGGCAAGTTTATATGAGCAAAAAAATTAGTAATATCCAAAATAGAACATAGTTAAATGAATGGTGGTAAGTCCATAAAATGGAATAACTTTGAGTGACATAAAATGTTGCAAATATTTATAAAAATGGAATATAAATTGACTATGAAGAAAATATCAATAAAATCCAAAGACTGTAAGACCACATTCTTTGACAAAAATTGTAGAAAATTAGAAATAAACAACAAAAATAGAAACAACACTATCATATAATTATTTTACAAACTTACCCCTCAACAAGGAAGAAGTAAAATTGCAATTCATGATATTAAATGACAGTGTATGAAAGACTGTGTGTAAAACCTATGAGACCTGGCCAAAGGTATAGTAGAGGGAAATTCATAGTTTTAAATACTTTCATTATTAATTCAAAAACAAAACAATTAAGGAAATGAAATATTTATCTCGGAAAACTAGAAAAAGAAAAGCGAAATAAATGTGAGGACAGCAATAGAATAATTATAAAAACAAAATTTAATATTTAAAAAATAAACCCAGAAGAATGAAACAGATATGTGGAAAGGAGCAGAGAACAAAATAGAATTTACCAGTTTTAGTAACCTGGAGTTCTCATTATCATCCTCACCTTAGAAACTGTGAGATAACCCTGTCTCCTTATAAAATGTATCACTTTTCTGTTTTTAGCAAGCTTGAGTTGCTTTTTATATCTAAAAATCCTCAATGACTTTAGAGTTGGGATACCAAATCCAGAAAACATAAAGTATAAGACTGAAATATTTGACTATATAGACATTTTTAACTTGAGTCAGTGAAAAAACTACAAATATATTTAAAAAAACCTGGAAGTATAAGTAAAATGCAAACAACAAAATGAATGTATATATAGATATATATACAACGTGTGGAATTGACGAAGGCTAATATCCTTATTGTACATAAAATCGTATATAAAAGAGCATCTCTGTATAATAATTGAACCAACACTGTGAACAGAAACCTTGTGAAAATTAAAATACCAATGGATAATAAATATATTAATATGTGTTAACCTTCACTGATTCAAACAAAAAAATACCAACAAGCTATTTCTTCTCTCTAAGCCTGTGAAAGATTAACAGTATTAACAGTATTATGTGGTGATGAGCCTGCAGGAAGATGAGACTTGAACACGAGTGCTGTTGGTAGGTGTTTAAATTGGCCCAAACTTTCTGTGGGCACACACATATTTTTTGACTCAACAGTTCTATTTGTAAGAATTTATCCCCCTAAAAAACATCTGGAAAGATTAACAAAATTAGGAGCATCATCACATCATGGGTACAGCATTAAAGAGCTGGAAACAACTAAAATGTCCACCAAAAAGGTTATGTATAAGTCAATTATGGTTACCTTGTAAGATGGTAAACCTGATTTATTGACAGAAAGAAGTTCCATGAGAAATTGTTGAGATTTTTAACAGCAGGTTATAAAGTAGAAGTGGAGTAGAACTCAATTTTAATATAAATGTGGGTACAGGCATAAAGATATGGGTATAAAAGTCTTTGCCCAAGTTTAACAAAATCATTTCTTCTAGGGTGAATTTTTTATTGTATTTACTTTCTTCTTTATTTTTATTAGTTCCATTTGATATTTTTTCTAATGAGCATACATAATGTTTGTATCACAATATAAAATTATTTTCACACTGGAAAACGGGTTAAAAGGAAATAACTACAGAAATACTCTCCCACCCCTTAAAAATGTAGTCAAAATAAGTAGACTTAAATAGAAAAAAAAAATTGGTTTTCCTAAGAACAAACAATGTTGTGAAGATATAGTAGCACGCACATTCACTCTGTGAAGGGTAGGTGGTCAAATTGGAGAACTTTTTCTAACGATTAACTCAGCAAAGCATAGCGCCAGCTTCAGTAAAAGTTCACATGCTTTGACTCACTTCCAGAAATCCAAGCAAGGAAATACTCAGAAATACTGACAAAGTTTGTGTAGAAGGATGTTCATGCATTGTTCTTTTTCAATCATGATTTAAAGATTGAAACAACGTGAATGTCCACAATAGTGGATTATTTGTGCATACGTCTCCACAACTCATTCAACAATATACGCTGAGCGTCTGCTCTGTGCCAGACTCTTTGACAGACCCTAGGATCCAGTGATGAGCAAAAGTGCAGTCACTCTAGTGGGAAAGACAATCATCTCCTTCCAGAAATGAGTTAGGTGCTACCCCAGAAAAGTATAGGATGTGAATGTGCATATACAATATCACTTTACAATCAGACAAAGAATACAATAAAAAGAAGAGTGCAAAACATGTTTTGAACATCTACTTATTACCTCGAGGAATGATCTGCTTGCCAAGTGAGGGAGCTTCTCTGAGGGCCAGGAATGATCATTTATAAGCTATTAGCCACCTCACGGAAAGGATGGAGAGGAGGCATAAAGACCTAATGCAAGAATGTTCAGAACCACTTCCATCAGAGAACTGAAGAGAAATAAAGATGAAATGTTTCAAGTTATCATTTAAATAATGTGCAAATATGATCCCATTTGAAAGGCACACCTCTCTAATAAGGTCTAAAAATAAGGAGGTGTAATCTTGTCTCTTTCTACTCCACAGTACCTTTAGCAAAGGCTTAATCACCTTAGGGTTTCCTTTTGGAACAGAAGTTAGGGTCAAGTCATTAACTGTAAAGCAATTCCTGAACCAGTTGGGACTCTACAGTGTTGGCTGTCAGAATCAGCAACATTTTGGGGGCAGAGATCCTCTGCTCCCTCATTATTTAGGAATTCTAGTCCTGTCCTGACACGGTAGGCTCAACTTGCTTCCAAGGCACTTGACAGAGTTATAAACTAATTGTGTGATTGAGGAAGTCCTTGGGAAGACCATGCCTACCCCTTGTTCCTGCTGGTTGGCTGTAACCATAGCAACCTCTTACTCCAGACCAAAGTTCAGCTACTGTAAATCTTTATGACCATGTTCATAGTCCAATGTTCATTAGCATACCCTTCCTAAGAAGAGAGAGGTTTTATATTTCCCTACAAAGTATTGGACTCCATTTCTAAATACTGGACTCCTGATGATAAGGTCCAAAAATATTATAAAAAGATCTTTGTTTTTTTACCTTAGGACCTTTATTTTCCTGAGAAAATGCCTACAATAAAGAAAATATTGATGTTCTTATCTGGCTTTATCACAAGCTTGGGATCTCTCATCGTAATTTGCTCTGTTCTTGGGACTCGAGAATGGATGAGCAGTACCATTGCCATCAGTGAGCCTTCTTCAAATGGTAGTCTCGTTATTACCTACGGACTCTTTCGTGGTAACAGTTTTCAAGAACTGGATCAAGGACTTGCAGAACCAAGCAAAGAATTTGGAGGTAAATGACAAACCTATTTCATTAAGTATAATGAGATTGAACTAACTGGGTAAGATTCATGTCATTCTATATTTGACACGTCAAATAACCATTCAAAAATAATTTCTTTGTTAGCTTTAAGTGGGACTGTAGATATGAACATATATTTTTAATTTTGAAAATTTACCACACCATTGTTTTAGCTTGTGTTCCTCAGTTCTAGTTGTGTCTATTAGCCCAACAGTCTGAATCATTCTAGCAGAGGCTGTGTTTAAATGGTACTACCAAGTTTACTGACAAGAAATAATTAAGTAAAAATGTATAGCAGCAGTATGGTATCCAACAGCCAGTAGGAACAGCATTTTTAACTGTATTGACTGTGGATTTTTAGTTGGAGCAACAGCCTCTGTCCAGAACTTCATCAGTGTCAACTATGCAAGAAAAAAATGAAGTGCAAAATACAGTCAATTTCTTCTTCTATATCTCAAGTTCATTTCTTTAACTCATTGGAATTCGCATTCTTACCTCCAAAACATCTCATTGCCGTTGGACATAGTATTAAATTTCCATTAATTCTATTAATTGTATATTTTATAGGAATTCCTAGTTTTTTTCCTGATTTCTTACATAATACTTCCCTACTCTCAATGGATTGAAAATAAAAATTCATTGAAAAGTGATAAGTTGAATTTAGCTATTTATTTGACTTCTGAAGTTTGAATATATACCATTATGTTTTCTAAATTCAAAAGCAACATTGGTAAATTATTTAGCACCTGAAATGGACTTCGTTTTGAACAGTGTTGCATACAGGTATTATATAGGCATTATCAGGTATTATGTAGTCATTACCTCTTGACTTATAAATATGCATCATTTTCTACCTTATACAAATGTAGTATTTAGTCCTTGTGCAATGTGTAATGGTAGGAGTTTGAACCTTAGACATTAGCTCTAAGTTCCAGTTCTAGTTTGTGACTTTATTAATGAAATGATTTCTTTAAATCCAGAGCAACATGGTTATATTTCCAACTTATAAATTTGTCTTTGAGAAGTTAGCAAAAGCAACTTGCCCTCGGTGTTTCGGCAGTGTTACACACCTCCTCCGGTACCAGCCTCAGCTTCTCAGGAAGATGAGGAATATTTGCTTTGCAGCAGCTGGAAACTAAGACTTTCAAAGATTCAGTCACACTTTCAGTTATGTGAATGGCGTTTTCAAAACCGAAAACTGTACTAGTTCCTGAATATTCAGACACATTTAAAAGTTTTTAAATATGAGATAACAGCCTGTGAACTTTTTGATGTTCGTACGGTGTGTGTTTGAAACCAGTTGGTTCCAATTTGAGACAAATGGCTTCAATGAGAGCCCTGACTACCTACATCCAGGGGAGCTCAGAGGAGGCAAGGGTAGGTCAGAGCCCTGTGTGAGCAGTGTAAGCACAGTGTGTTGAGACGGCAGGGACAGCCATATTAAGGACAGCCCTGACAGCAGCAGGGCCAAGTGGGCACCGCAGCAATGTGGGAGCACAGGGAGGGGAATGTTTGCATTTGCTTTCCCTGGCTCTCTTCAATTCTTTGTTACCGGAGAGCCACATTCCAACTTCCTCAAGCCACTGCCCAGCCTCCGGGCGCTGTAGAAGACAAAGCACCTCTCAATCAGAGCCGGTGTACACAGTTGCCCTGGTTGACATCTGCTAAGGACCCCTTAGGGCCTAGGGAGTCTTCATTGCTGATGATTTTAGCAACCGTTGAACTTGGAACACATGTAAACAGTTCTCCTAGATGGGGAAAAGTCACGTAGCTGGAACATCTACATGGCGTTCAGCTGCTGCAGATCCAAGGATGCTTTCCCCGCAGAACAGAACCGCAGCATTACAATGAGTCGTGGCTGCTCTCCTACGGGTTCTCATGACCACACGGGGCTCATTTCAAACCAGAAACCAATCATTGGCAGTACAATAAAGTCTGTATAAATGCCACTTTCCTGCCCAGCAGTGACGGGATGACTTTTCCGCTTGAGAAGTTAACCGTGTCAGCCTCTTGGCTGGGATGAGGTCACACTGAATATTGCACAGCTCTGCTATTATTTCTGCATAGCATTTATCACATTGTGTTGATTTTGGCTGTAGATTTTGAAATGAAAGAGCGGTATGAAGTGACAATGGCTGATTTCAACGTGCCAAAATAATTCAGCCAACACTAGGTCAATTAGTGGGGAAAAGAATCAGTCACACCTGGTAAGGAGACTCTCCAGTGTGTAACTAGATGACTTGGGCAGCTCAGGCTGACCAGGAGATCTACTAGCCTCATCTAGAGGCATCCAGTCTGTCCAACATCCAGATGACAAGTGACAGGTCCTCTGTGTCCACAAGTGAGCATGTTGCCTTAGCTACTCCAAAAGTTCTGGATATTTAACTTCAGTTCAGAAAAACTCCCCTAAGCAGCTGCTATGTGAGTGAGGGGCTGGGATACTGAGAGGACCTGCACAGAGCTCCTGGTCTTGGTGGCCTCACCATCCAGTCTTCCTAGAGAAAGACCTCCGTCAGTTAAATCCAACACCCTGCACCAATTGCAGGGCAAAGGTGTGTGCAGGTCTCGAGGAGAACAAGGGGGAGTTTCACCCCAATCTGTCTCCCCCTCACTGCTCCCAAGTGTCTTTTCTCCACCTACCCCCGTTTGTTCTCAGGGAACTCAAAATTGTACTATTAGCCCAAGCTAAAAATAATCAGGAAAGAAAATCTGCTGCAAAAATCACTTAATTGCAAGGAGAAGGACAAATGAGGTTTATTTCTCCAGAATTTACAAGAAACCCCTTCCTTACCTCTCTTAGCCACCCTCCCCCACCCACTACATGTCAGATAATTTTCCTGGGGAGGAGTGAATTGTCATTTGCCCCCAGAGACATGACCACACCGGGAGGTGGAACATAAGGGGGCAGAAAAGGCATTTCCCCCTAACACTCTTCTCCCCAGATAACACGGATAAATTTCCCAGAGGCTGGGGACACCAGCTGGGACATTCTGGGAGAGCTCCCAGGGCACGCTCTGGGATCTATGGATTTAATGGGCTCTTCCAGGGATCTACTGTGGTTCACAGATTGAGGATTGAGGTCCACCAGGTCAGGCTCCCTGGGGACCAGGTGTTTGAGGAGAGGGTGGAGGCAGTTCCTGCTCACCCCTCCTCATACACACACAAAGCCACTGGCTCTCTCTCAATTCCCAAGGACTTATGAAAAGCAGAGCTAGAAGGGACAGATGGCAGGTGGTGCCTGAAGGGTTAAATCTCTGTGTGGGGAGCCCAGATGTCCACATGACCCCATTTCTGCACACTGCCCAGTGTCCCCAGTACATTTTGCCTCCCAGCTGCGGAAGTGATGCCCTCTTTTCTGGGGCCCCCAGAATCTGACAATTAGTTCCAATTGTGAGGTGGCTTTCCTGATTCCAACGCTTGGCTGCTAAAAGGAAGAAAAGAGAACGGAATGTATTTGCTAATTTTGTAGGCAGAGAGCAGCTGTCAGATGCCATGGACGTTTACTGTTATTTCATTCTTGCTAACTTTCACTGAATTTCCAGCTTTCATTGTCTGAGTGCTGAACCAGGAGGTGGAGGGGAGATAACGGCTGTCATGCCTGTGTGGCAGGGAATTCAGAATGCTGAAATATAATTTTAAAATAGAGCAGTTAAAATTCAGATAAATCATCCCATTAATACATAGAAAGTATGAGTCAGTAGGCTCCAAATTGACTGCCTTTTGAAAAATACATCTAATAGATATTTTTTTTTTAAAGATTTTATTTATTTATTCCTCCCCCCCAAAGCCCCAGTAGATAGTTGTATGTCATAGCTGCACATCCTCCTAGTTGCTGTATGTGGGACACAGCCTCAGCATGGCTGGAGAAGCGGTGCGTCGGTGCGCGCCCTGGATCTGAACCCGGGCCGCCAGCAGCGGAGTGCGCGCACTTAACCGCTAAGCCATGGGGCCGGCCCTAATAGAGCTTATCAACAGTCAGAAACAAAGCTAAACCCGATCACCACTTTCTAATTTACTCTGAAAAAGTAGCATGTTCACTACTTGTGAATGAACATCCATTTACAGCTTTTAATAAGTGTATAAAGGGGAAACATTCTCCGGGGCTCTTCAGGCGTCTTGGACACACATTTTTCCCACATTGAATCTCTATTTTCTAGTTAAGCAGCCAAATTATTTCTTACTGGCTGAGGAGAGAGTTCATTCAGTCCCCGCACTCTTCTGATTCAACCCTGTGTTTCTCTTTCGTGCCCAGGGAGGGGCTGGGGGAGGTGGAACAGGAAGCAGTTCTTCTAGTGGTGACTAAGTTTGGAAACGTGTGCGGCATCTGACCCGCACCTCTGAACAGGTGTGTCTTACTTGTTGTTTTTCCTACTCTTTCTCCTCCACTAGTTTCAAAAGAGGTGCGTGTTAAATGATAGCAAAACAATCCCCCAACCACTGCATCTCCACGGTGGTGAGCCAGACAAAGAAGCAAGAGGCTCAGCCTGAGGTCAGGTCCTTTGGAACAGTCACAGCCAGGCGGCCCCCCAGAGGGCAGGCCAGGCGGCTCATAGGACCCCACCCATCCCCACCAACAAGGGGTGGCAGGCAGGACTCCGTTTTCAGTTTAACCAATGCCCTGTTAGAGTTCCTACCTGGGGTGCACAACAGGGAGGGCTGTGCTGAGAATTCAGCGTCTACGCGTCATTAACAGAAGTTGTGTAACAGCCCAGTCACCGCTAGGTAAGAGCAGACTGGAAGACGCGCGTTGGACTTTGCTCCCAGCCCGTGTCAGCCGGAGGCGGTGAAGTCATCGTCTCCCTGTCCTGAGCTGCTGCTGCCCCTCTCCCGGCCCCTCTGGTTTCCCACGGGTTTCAAGGGACGTGTGGCCATGCTGACTTGAGGTTCCTCTCTCCCACACGTTTTCTTTCCTCCTCCTTTCTCTTCCGCGTGCTCTCAACTCCTCTCTCCCCTCAGCCCTGAGCTCCTGGCCTCACTCCCCCTTCTGCCGCCTCTGGCTGCCATTCCAGGGGCCTCTCCTCGCCCCTGGGCCGCTCCCCACACCCCCTGCTCTAGCTAGGGACCCTGCTAGCTCATGGCCATCAGGACGGAGTCTCATGCACGAGGGTCTTTACCGTAAGATCCGATATCTAGGGATGCCTGATGGCAGACTTGCTGGCCAAATCTCTTCCATGTGCGTTCTGTCCAGTGACAGGAAATTTGTCCCCCTCGTGGAGAACTGCTGATTAAGAAAAAAAAGAAGCTGAACTAATAGAATTTAGATCTTCAAACATGGAGAGAGGATAGACCCCGGAGAGGTGGTCTCAGATCTTTTCGGGAGTGCTGGGCTGGTTCTGGGGTCGGGGTAGTGTGTGCGGTGCGAGGACCAGGCTGGCAGGAGCTTCGGAACCGCACCTTACAAGGAACTTTCAGGAGATGTGGCGGTTCATCATGTTGGGGTTTTATCCCCTTCAAATGTTTGGGAAAGCTGTCAGGGAGGAGACAGCAAGAGGACTCTGTGTTGCTCTGAAGGGAGCATGAGGCCCCTGGGCCAAGTCGTGGAGACGCAGATTTGAGCCAACACAGTGAAGGACCTTGCAAGAATTAAGGCACCACAGGGATGCAAGGGGCTGCCTTGCGAAGAGAGGGCTCCTCGCTGCCAGGACACAGTTCAGGAGGAGGCTTGGCCAGAAATCTTCCAGGGGTTTTCTGGTTTCTGTTCCTTAAAGCTGCTCCAGTGTCAGGTTGTGAGTGGCTCCCCTCTCTCTCCCTGGGGCCTGAGAAACAGGAATGGAAAGAGGAAACCTTTTACTTTTTCTTACCCACCCCCATCGTGGTTCTCATACCTTGCAATTCCCAACGACCTCGTTCGTATATTACTATGGACCTGAAATCTTTTTCCCGAATTAATTTTTCCTTAAATCGTTGTGCCTTGCACAGAACATCTCGGTAAACACTTTATTTAATGTGGTGGCAATTTCCTAAGGTCCTAACACACACTGGCAGGCCTTGGAGATGTTTTATAGATGCATGGCTGGGGTTACACGTTAAGTGTGGGGACAGCGGGCCTCTGGTGTCTGTTCATTTTGTGATGTAAACAAAGGAGTGGGTAGAGGAAACCAGTGCATGGGAGGATGGCTGGTGGTGGTTGGAAACAGGATGGCAAAGCAGGAACTGATGGCTAATGGCCCAGGGCATCTGTGTTTCATTTTACAGGAGTGCATATCCATGTCTGGAGCGTCTCTGCACTTAAGAAACATGTAAATTTTTTAAAATGCTCTTCGAATGCAGAGAAATTTAGCTTGCAAAGAAATCTGATGGTTCACCCAAGAGCCACCTCCAGCATTCGAGCCACTTGGGCATTGGGGTCTTCTCTGGCTCCAGGAAAATGAAGTCAGGAATTGGGACAGATGCCTGGATTTGCACGCACAGAAGTCATTTTCCTACCCCCAGGGCCAGCCTTGGGCTCCCACCTCCCTGGTCACCTCGGCTAGCCCCTCCCCTCCTGGTCTCCTCTGTAATGGCCAGCCCTTGCTCTCTGGCTCATCTCAGAGATCTTGACCTTTACCGGATCCTCATTGTCACAGGTTTTCAGGGTGCCCCACCCTGTAAGTGTCTCGAAGCGGAAGCAGAGTTGGTGCTCAGACCAAAGGGGACACTGCCTCCAATGAAATTGTGATAATGCCCACTGGCAAGCATCTGAGGCCAGAACGTACTCAGGGAAGGTTGTCCAGCCCTACAGCAGCCCATTAAGGAGGGCACGCTCTTTCCTAGCGGACTTTAACACTGGGATAGACATCCAGTGACCTGCGGTATGCAGTTACACTCACTTAACCTCAGACTCAACAGCCGGCCTGAGTAGGGAATGTGGGTCCTGAGCTCCTGCTCCCTCCTGTTCTTGCATGCCTGTGAGATGCCTCCTGACAACTTCTAACCCAAATACCGAAGCGGGTAGGATGTGAAGGAAGGCAGGGATGTGTGTGGAGTAGCCCTCTGGTCTAGAGTTGGTATTTGCGTTTTGTTCTATGTACTTACCAAACACTGTTTTAGTTATAGGGCAACTGAATAATTCTTCCCAAAAATCTCTGCATTTGGCGGTTATGCTGTTCCTGGTTCTCAGTTTGCTCACTTCGCTGCTGAGCTGTGTGTTTACCCTCTACAACAGCATCAGCAACCCCTACCAGACGTTCTTGGGACCAGTGGGGGTGTACACCTGGAGCGGACTCAGTGGTGAGTATCACTGCGCTCTGCCGAGAGGCACGTTCTCTTTGTCTCTCTCTCTGCTTGTCTCTCTCACACGAACACACATAGCCAGAATCAAGCCTGGGAAATTAGGAGGACCTACCATGTGCCTAGTGGTGTGCTGGGGGCTGGGATTTATTTTTGTAAATGTACAGCACTTATTAAGCATCTTTGGAAATAAAATCCTGTTTTAACTGCACTGGAGAGAGGCAAGGAGTGAGGTGAGGAGGGGAGCATAAAGTGTTAAAATATATGACATACACCAGTCTCTGCTTTTGAGTATCTCCCGTAGGGAGTTAAACCAAACGCACATCAATCAACAGAACATTTTCCGGGCTCCTGCCTTGTGCTTAACTCCAAGTTAGGCTGCATGCGATGTATAGAAGTACACACACACATGCACACACATACACACGTGTGCACACACTTATTTACTGTCCTTCTTGCCTCCATTCAACAACATTCAACTTGGGCTGAAACCAAACATGACACTTTTCTATCACTGTGCCACAGAGAGTCACAAAGAATGTCATTTAGGAGAATCTGGGGCCAACGCCCTTCTTGTGGGTGACCCGTGGGCCCGCGCTGTTGCTGTGTGGTGTAGCTAGGCTATTTCATTTGTTTATTGGGCGAGGTGTTGGGGTGGGGATGGAGCCCAGATGGGAAGTGGATCACAGCTTTGAGTCACAGTGGTGTTGACTCTCAGTGGGTTTTGATGGGGCCCCAGAGGCGTGCTGAAGTGGGGTGCCTCTTAGCCCCTGTTCGGCACCCAGGTTTCTCCTGCACTTTCCCTCTCTCCTTCATGAAAACCCCATCTCAAGAAAGGACCTGAATCCCATCCTGCAAATGGACAGCTCTGGAGGTGGCTTCACGTGAGTTCCAGGCACTGTGTTTTAACACACTCCAGAAACTTTCAAGCACAGGAAAGGTACTCTGGATATCAGGAAGCCTCGGAGGAGAGACTCTGGGCAGCTTCCTCCTGAACTTCTGGGAGAGGCCATCCTTACGCTAGCTGGTGCGGACGGCTGGAGGAGGCCCCCGGGTCCCTATGCCGCGACTATCAGCAGTGGTGTGCTGGAGAACGCGAACAACAGGCTCTTGGGGGAGGGGAGCCCTGACTGTAGCACTGGCTGATGCGAGTGGTGCAGACACTTCCACTGTGGCTGTTTTCATGCTAATAGTTGAGGAGATGTGTGAGCCAGTCCCAGCACAGCACTGATACGAGGGAGTGAGCCATGCAACTCAGTAATCAAACAGAGGTGCTTCTAAAAGTGCAATTCATAATCGTTAAGCCAGGACAACAAGTGGAAACTGGGACTGTCCTAGGAAAAGTTGCATGCATGGCCACATTGCATACTCACACCTCAGCTCTGAGGATCTGGGGTCAGGCTGGTTCGGCCACATTCACACACAACTAGCCTTGTCCTTTCTCTCTCTGCTTTTATTACCTGGCGGTGAAAAACAAACAAATCCTCCAATTTAACGGAGGCCCCCTGCCGGCCAGGCAGACAGTCCTGTGGGATGACTATTCCTGCTTCCCTTCTCCCAGTGGAGCTGAGTTGTCAGAAGGCTAAGGGACTTGGTTGCAAACTCAGATGCCCTCACCTGAATGTCAGAGTTCCTTCCCCCAGCCTGTTTCTATGATTGTCATCACCTCAGTCAACCAAACCAAAGGTGAGACTCACTGGCACTCATTGCCAGGGTGAAAAATAGATTATTTTAATTTTGGTCATATAATTACGAAGCTAAGGGAAGCAGTGGCCTCAGGTACAGCTGGATCCAGGGTCTCAGCCCTGCCATCAGAACTCTGTTTCCCTCTGGTGCTCCGTCTCTAGATGTCCCCCAGCGTTCCCTCTATCACTAAGCAGCCAGCTGGTTCTCTTAAAGGCAAGATGACGGCCAGCCATTCTTGGCTCATGGCCAATAGCAGCAACCCCAGGAGAAAAGTCTTCTTTTTTCCCTAAATCTGAATCTCACTGGAATTGCCGTTCCCCATCCCTGGAGCAATCCGCACAGCCAGCAACGTTGAATTCACTGATTGACCCACCTGTTGGCTGAGGACACCTGCCCACCTTGGAGCTGAGGGAGGGAGTTCTGAGAGGAAAATCAGGCACTGGTACCAGAGAGGAGGGCCAGAGGTGGGGTCCAGAACAAAATTGTCCACATTGCTGTGTGTACAGCCTTCAGGGTTCAAAGCCCATCCCTTCATCCCGGTTTTCAGCAAGGCTGAAGCTCCCAGTCTCTCTTCCTCCACCATCGAGTATAAGCTGACTTTGCACAGGGCGGAGGCCCGATGCATGTTTGTGGAGGAAAACATGAAAGAAGGGCCGGCAGCGTTCCCCCCAATCCCCACCTACTTCTAACAACAAAGAACTGTTTGACAAGGAGAGTTGACGCCACATTCCTTTCCTGGCTTGGGGCGAGTTCTAACCCAGAGAGAGGTGGTGAGGCGGGTGGAAAAACAATCTGAGACATTGATGTGTACAGAGAGATCTGGATTCTGATAGGCTGAGGAAGATCTTTGCTCAGTGTTTGGCTTTGCATGTGGCCTCCTCTGAATGCCCTCACCGCCTCTTGGTCGCAATGCTCTGATAAACCAGCCTTCTGCCCTGAGTTTGCCTCTGGGGACACTTGATTTTCTTCATGGGTGCCTCAAGGGTTGGAGAACTTAGTGAAAACTCAGTTAGTGAGAGCCTTGGCCTGCAGGAAGGTTTTGTGCACAAAGATGCTATTGACATATCCTTGCCTTGGGTTGCCGTGGCAGGAGAGCAGGGGTCAGGCTGACTTCCCCGGGTCCTGAAGCCAGAGACAAGTACCACAGACCCCTCTCCAGGCTGGGATTGAACACACTCTCCTTGGCGGCAGGGGAGAAGAGGAAGTGGGTTTCCCAGCTTGTTTCTGAAGGAACAGGAGCAATTCTGCCTTGAGGAGAAAGCAGCGTCACCTCCCGGCTCCTGCGCCCTCGGACCCAGCCTGCCCTTTGTACCACACCAGCCTGGAGAGGCCTGACCGTGACCATGGGGAGATGATTGTAGATGAGACAACGGTGGAGCCGGAAAGAACTTTGCAGACTGTCTGCTCCAACACGCTTGTTCCTCGGCTAAGGAACCCAGGGAGCAGAAAGTGACGCAGCAGGTCACAGTCACAGTTTGATAGCGACAGGCCAGGACGGGAAGCCAGCGTCCTGAGCCTTCGGGAGCTCCTCCTCCTGCCATGGGGCTTCCACCAGCCCCCGGTGAGCCCTTCTGTCCCAGAAAGCCAGAGAAGCAGGCAGTGAGAGGCAACCCCTTCCGAAAGGGGCTTAGGTCAGCATTTGTGTCTGCGCGGGGGCCCTCCCAATTCGAGTGAAAGCCATGGGCGTGCCACTTCAGAAAAAAGAGTTTAACCCTGTCTTCATCCTGCCCCTTTATGACTGAAGTTTTATAAGAAACTTCACAAGAGCATACTGAAGGATAATTAAGGGGTGTGAGAGGCATAGAGCATCAGAGGAAGGGCTTTTATATGCACAAATTATTGAGAAATAAAGCCATTACGTTGAGGATGAACGTCTGTCAAGGACAGAGCATCTCCTCACACAAACGCCCTCTGATTGGGGCCTTTTGGAAAAGCTCCCTGTGTGTGGGTCACAGCCAGGACGTGTGTGTCACCAAAATGTCCGCCTAGTGCTGGGTAAATGCCAGCAGACGAAGAGTCACCCCGCGTGTGTCCCGAAGGACTTCCGTCCCGGGGATTCCCGGACGGCAGGGTCAGGCCCTGACTTTGCTAGTGGGCTCGCCTGCCACATCAAGAGTCCAGGAGCATCTGATCCTTGTCCTCCTCCCCCTCCCTTTTAAACAGCTTCATTGAGATGTGATTTACATACCATACAATTCACGCATTTAAAGCGTACAATTCCAGGGTTTTTAGTATGTTCACAAATATGTGCAACCATCACTACAGTCAGTTCTGGAATATTTTCATCACCTGAAATAGGAACTCCTTGCCCTCTGGCTATCAGCCCCTCCCCACTCCCAGCCCTAAGCAACCACCAACCTCCTTCCTGTCTCCAGCTTGACCCCTTTGGAAGAGGAGGAATGAGGTTCAGAGAGTCACCTGAGGCCACACGGCTGGAGCCCTGGAACCCTGCTCTCTCTGATTCCAGAAGTATGTTGTTTAACTAGGCCCAGGTGGCTTTCCAAAGTCAATACCTAGGAATGTTCTCTAGTGGAGGACATTGTGAAGAATAAAAAAAGGGAAGATAAAAAAATTTTAAAATTTTCTTCTAAAATGTGTTTAGTAAGGAGATCCTTCCTGGTTAAACACTATACTCCATTGTGTGTAGAATGAAATTCCAGCTCCTGAGCTGGCATTCGAGGCTCTCCAGGGTGGTCTCATCATGTATCTAGTGCTTGGGACCCTCAGCACCACTCTGCCTCAGCTGGGCTTCTCTCTCACAGTCCTGGAAGCTCTAAGCTCATGGGCCATCATGTGTCTTTGTTTAGGCTGCCTCTTCTGTTTGAAGCGCTGTTGTTCTTCCTCAGCCTCTCTGGTCTTTTTCATCCCTTCAGTCCTCTCTAGACAGTTTCCCTACTGACTCTCCTGTTCAATCATTCATTCAGTCACTCACCTACTACATGCATTGCTCTAGGAAGTGGCTACATGATATTTCAGTTGCACAGCAACTTCTGAAAGGATTTGGGCCAGAGTGTTTGCTCCTGGTCATTCACCGCCCTGCCCTGTCTGAGGTTTCGTGTCTGGCACCTACTTGTGTCTTACCTTTCTTTTACATTCTCCTTAATGCCTAAAAGAGTGTAAACTCCAGTGTAGATATTCAGTCAATGCCCATAGAGGACATATTTGATAAAGAAAAAGAGTGACATTAGCAACGTATCACCATATCATTTTTAAACTTAATTTTCTTTTCAGCATTGTTAACTTTCGTGAGCATGATGCTGTTTGTGGGGAACATACAATCCAACCATCTCTCGGAAGAGTTGGCCCAGGTGCTTTACCCACTGTATCCAAGAACCGCTTACAAAGGAACATCGCACAGTTATGGATACTCCTTTTGGCTCCTGCTGCTCATCATTCTTCTAAATATAGTCACTGTGGTCATCATCATTTTCTACCAGAGGTCCAGACGCCAGCGGAAGCAGGAACAGAGGAAGCTGACGGAACATGCTCCAAGGGATGGAATTTTATTCTGAGTCCTGTATCACGCTCTTGTGTCAGTAGGTCTGCTCTATTGTACATCAGCTCCCCAAGCAGTAACTGGGCAGCTTGTCTGACAAGCAGGGTGGTAAAGGGCAGTCCTGGTGGACTGTCATTTTGTGATAGTTTTTCTATCTCATGACCCTACGTTCTTCATAAATGATGTGCCCTTGGCAAGGGTTCCTCCCCCGACGGTGGGGAAGATGAAAGGAAAGCTCTCTAGTCCATGTAGCGTTCAAAGCGGTAGAGTGATTATGAGCCCGTGGACCCTGCCGACCCCGTCTCACCATCTGAAATAATAAAGGTTTGTGTTGCACACCTTTCCTTTGAGAAGCTCAAAGCACTTTAGCACCTATGATCTCGTTCTCCTCAGGAAGAACCAGGTATCTTTATTCCACTCTGTGAACAAAGACTTCCAGGTACAGAGGGATTCAGAACTCATCTTTCCAGGACCAGGTGTTGGGGCAGAAGGTGAGACTTTGGGGTGAATGATCTGGTCCTCTGGACTCCTAGCTGCTGATATAGCTCAAACCCAATGGGGGGTAGAAGTGCTGATATGTGACCCTCAAACCCATTTTTGAGGTTCTAAGGTGAGGTTTTGTGTGTAAGAGATTAGGAAGTGAGAATATCGAGGAAAGATAAAAATTATAGCCCTGCAGCCTACATGCTAAGGAGGCTAAATGTATTTTTGGTTTAAAAGGATTGTGGTGAATTCAGTCAAAATGGAAATGTAACATTGCAACAAGTTCTAACAACCACCCCACCAACCAACCTTCTGCTCTGTCACTATGGTGTAGACACGGGTGTATCACCCATCGACAGAATCCTGCCCAGCCAGAGGCTGAGAAAGAAATGGGGTGAGCACCGTGGCTTGCAGGATTCCCAGAGTCATGGCCAGGGCAGATGAAGAGCATGGTGTGGGGTTGTCCTCTAAGAACAGGGGGGTGAAACTGGTTCATGGTCTCATGAGAAGACAATGGGCAACCAGGAGAATTTAAAAAGGCACCAGAATGGATTAGACCTACTTTACCAGTAGGATATTCCCCCAGAAAATCACTTTCAGGATCTTTTGGGCTTGAATATCCCACAAGTCAGACAGGTTGAACTTTGACAGGATTCTGAAATAATCACTTTTCACATCTTGATGGAACCAAAGCCCAATGGAGCAGAATTCTTTTAGTGTAATTTACAAAGCAGCAGGTCTTTGGACAGAAAGATATATATCCTTTATGAAGCTTTCAGGGATTAATGACCTTATTATTTTTTAACAATCTATCTTAGAAATAATATTTTTCCTTTAAGAAGCATATCTTGAATCCCTGCGATGTAGTTATCACCGTGCAAACCCAGGGGTCTGCCCCCACAGAGCTGTTGAGCAATCAAGACAGACTTTAAAAAGTAGCCACTAAATACCATGTAAAACAGGTATTTAGTCACAAAATTGTGCTCATTCTTTGAAAGGAAAGTTCTCTACAAGCTCCCACCCCAAAGTCCTACTACGTCAAGGTTACTCTAACAAATTAACTTACTGTGAAACTTCGAACGTATTAAAAATCTAGTTATCAACAATGAAAGTTTCCTAAATTCTTTGAAGCTAAAAATGTTTATGTTCTTTGAAGGTTTGAACTTTATATCAGGTTTTGATAATGTAGACAAGTAATGAAGAGGAAACAGACACAGGTAACAAATCCACACAAATGATGGCTAAACAGGCAGACGCTGGCATCCCGTGTCAGTGCAGAGGATGCTGTAGATGCAAGGACCACATACAATCATCTCAGCATCTGAGCAGAGCTTGGATTATTTAAGGGACAAACTATGTTAAACCTTATACCACAGATGGCCTTTAAGGAACCATTTAAAACAGAGGAATCAGGTAAATGGAACTACTCTTCACAATTCAGGAGATGAAGAGAATGGCTCCCTTATTACATCTGCAAGTGGAAGGTAATGAAAGCACTTGTGTGTATGCAGAGGAAATCTTGTTAAGGAAGCAAAAAACTTGCCAACTGCTCACAGACGGAGACAGCGCTGAGGAGCCCAGCTCAGCCTCCCTGCCCTGGCCTGTGAGATGGGCCTGTTAGTGAATGTTGTGGTTCAATGAGGGTAACTGATTTGTTTTTCCAAAGAAAAAACCGCCATTGAATAGCAGTTTGCTCTCCTAAACTACTTAATGAATGTGCATTACATTTGTTGTACTGGAACCACCTGAAACACTCTTCTGAAGGTCTAGATTAGTCTGTGGGGTTAGAATGTGTCAGGGGTCATGATATGACTCCCTAATTAACCCATGTGGTCCCTGGGTGACAAGGTTCATCCATATTTGCAAAATAAATAAATCATACAAAATATCGTGCTTTCAGTTTTATAAGAACACAGGGTCTATGATGATAATTTTAGAGAAATTAATACTTTATACTAATGTCAAAGGGATTGGGCTTGCCTCATTGAGCTGATGTTTGCAAAGCACAGTGGGACACAGGGGTAACCGCCAGGTGAGCTTTGCTAGCATCATTATAATTTTATTTGATCATCTCACCAAACCCTGTGGATTAGGCAGGGCAGAAGAAGTTGTCTCCTTGGATATGACCCTTCTCAGGGTCTAAATAGCAACCCTGCAGCCGGCCCCACGTGACCATACAGTATTGGTATCCCTGTATGTGACACGTGGCCATACAGGCAGATGTATCAGCATCCTCCTGCCTTCTGAGGCTGCTCGGCCTCTTGGAAGCCCTGGGAACCTGCAGACTCTGCAAAGTGCAGGCAGGCGCCCAGCAAAGTTCTGGAGCAGGCTCTCCCTCCACCTGCCCAGCACCTGCCCGGCACCCATCTTTCTGTTTCACTGAAACCAGCCACTGAGTGCAGACTTGAAGCCAGGTTCTTAGTTGCCTAATCCAATGTCTTTCTACACCCCGGACAAGGATGCAGGCACGGCGTGTGGGGGACAGGATGGCTCAGAGTCAGGAGCCTTTCTGATTCTGAAATTCTGTCTCGGAGAGAAGCCGGGCTCCTTGGTCCCTGAGCCCCTCTTGGGCTCTCCTGACCCCGGCACCCAGAGCCTCCAGAGTCCCCAGGCAGATAAGTCCTTCAGCTAGGGGCATGGAGGGCTGATGCCTCCGTAACACCTAGGGGTGTGGTCTGCTCTCTAGTCCTCCTTACCTGTCCTCACCCCCAAACACTGCCACCACTGAGAACATGGGGACCCAGTTGGAGGCTCCATTTGTAGACGGCTGTAGCATCTTATAGCCTGCTGTGAGAAGCCAGCAAAGTCACCCCCCCTCTCTGAGCTTCTGTTTCCTCATGACTAAAAAGTAAATAATCAGTAATAGAAATGACAATCTGTACAATTGAGCAGGGAGGTTCTATAGAATCAGGCTGTCCCGGATGGAGAAGTTTACTTAATCTGAATCTCAGTAAGCCTCATTCTAATCGTCTGTGAAATGGGATAACAATAGAAGGTTTGGTTCTCAGGGTTGTGAGAATGAACCGTGATAAGGTGTGTAAAGGACTCCTGGCCCTTGATAACTGATGGTCATCCCCCTCCCTCTCGGAACTGTGAGTATGTACAAACTGTAGTAAAATCTGTAAAACTGAGACCAACATCGCCCCCTTAGCTAGTGCAGGCCACATTCATTCTTTTGTTTTGTAAAGGAGCAAGCAACAAACAAAAACCTTAAACCCAGGGAGGGTAATAAACTTGCCCAAGCCTCCAAAGCTGGCGAGTGGTAAAGCAGAACTATAAGTGGGTCTCCAGGACCTTGTTCTTTTTACCTGTATTTGATTCAGTTCCACAAACACTTGTTTGCATCAGGCTGACGGTAAAGGCTGGGGTGGGGCACAGGGACAAAGGACCAAAGGTCCCTGCTCCTTGAGCTCTGTCCTGGACAGGAAGTGTGGCCTTCCTGGCATATCCCGTAGGGTTTAGGGCCACATCTCACTGCATTTGGGGGTCCAGTGGATCTCGTTCATGAAGACCAAAAAGGAGCGTCTTGCTCAGGCAAAGGCACCCCATTTGCTTCAAATAAATCCTTAGCCGGGCTTGGGTGCTAACCTGAGCTGGAGAGGGTGGGGTCTCCCCGACCCGACCCTCCCACACCCAGAGGAGGCAAAGGATCCCTTGACCAGAGGACTTTGTGCTTCTTAAAATAGAAGTGAGGCCCGGGTTACTCACCGGGACCAGGGTCACTGGTTTATTAGAGCTGCGCTCAAGGAGGAGCTGAGCTGCGTGAGAGGTTTGTGGAACATTCAACTCCCTGAGCAGGCCTGCACTGAAGGCGCCGCAGTGTCTGTCCCTGCTCCTCGTGCTCCTCCTGCGCTGTCTTCTCAGGCCACCGAAGACTCTGAGACATAGTTACAGCATCAGAACTTCAGATATCGTCCTAGTTACAAAAAAATGAACTTGTATTTGCGACAGGCTTCAGACCACGAAAGTTTCATTTTCAACACGTTTACATGTTTAGTAAAAAAGAGAAATTTAGATGGAAGTATATTGTATTTTATGATTATTAGTTTTAAACAAACTACTTAAAAAAATGAATACCCCTCCTACCTCCCACCTCCCACTCCTTACCAAGAAGAGTAGATTTTTAATTTTTAACCTTAACCCTTTGTGGACTGCCCTACTCGTCTGCTTATGTTGAAGCACACCACTTCAACCAAATGTTCAACTTGTAAATCACTCTTCCAGAAGGGGAGTTTCTGCTTTTCTAATTCAGTGCCTAGCAATGGTGGGGTGCATGGAGGGTCTTCCAGAATACAGGGCGGGTGAGTTCTGCTCCTCACACCTTTACCGGCGGTGGTGACCACAATAAACGTCGCTGTCTCTCAGGGTGTGCGTCCCCTAAATGCTGTACAGGCGAGATTTCGTTGAATCCTCACGTCAAAAGCATGTGTTGGTTTCTAATTAACCTCAGTTTATAGATGAGTGACTGAGGCTTGGACTGGTGAAGTGGTGTGTCCACCATACCACAGCCAGGGAGAGGCTGAGCAGAGACTCCCGCACGGACCTTCTGCCCGTGTCTCCCGAGAAGCACGTGGCTGGGCCCTTAATCTCCCGGTGACACCGTGTGCATATGTAAAAGGGCTGTAAAATGTCTCAAGTGGGCATCCAAGCATTAGACCTTGGCTTCCATCGTGCGTTCCCCAGGCATGCAGCATTTGGGGCTAACTGAG